GTCTGTCTGTCTGTCTGTCGCTCTGTCTGTTTGCATGTATGCCATGGATACAGATATACAAACAAATTGTTATATGTATATACACATACACATAAGTATGTGTGTATGTATGCATGCATGTGTGTATGCATGGCTCTATGCAGGTCTACAGGTAGGTACATATGTACCCGGTCTTACACAGGTATATAGAAATCAGAGCCCCAACCCAGAGCCCGAAGCCCTAAGATCTAAAGCTCGTGGGCAGGACAGTGTCATCGTGGTCCGCGCCACAGGTCAGAGGAATCCCTCGGGCGACATCACGGGAGCACCCCAACCACATTAAGCTTGGGCAGGCTTCCGGCTTCCTCGGTTGGTTTATTTGTTTTCATGGGTATGTGTGTGTAGTATGTGTATACATGTATATACCAGTATGCACGCATATATATATATATATATATGTATGCACACACACATACATGCATATATCTCCATCGAAGGCACATACACTGTCAGAATATGCGTATATATATATATATATATGTGGACACATCTACAGCGATAGAACTATGGCATTCTGGCCGGCGTGGTGCACCGTTTCGTTCAAATCTCGGACACAATGCGCCTTCTTGGGGGCATGTTGTTCCCACCTATATTCCACCTACATTCTACCTTTTCCACATTACCTTAACATCTTTAGGGCTCTAGGGTTTTAGGGTTTCGGGCCTTAATATCACCTTCCACCTACCTTTATTTGACTTTTTATCTTGACATCATTCTATTTTATGTTCAGTTGCTCCCCCTTCCAAGGTTTGGGGTTTAGGGTGATGCTTCACTTAGATCGGCACTGTTGCTTCCTGTGACCTCGTTGTTGCTCAATCTTTGGTTGCAACCCTAATTTGGAGAACTACCCATATAGTCACCTCTGACAAAAAGATGCCCGCAGTGTATATAGCAGAATTCAGCTGCCTGCTTAGCTACCTGAGTTCGTTACCCATTCTAGACGCTTAAAGAGTATAGACTGTAAATCTTGAAAAGATTGCAATTCCCGAACCTTATACTTTCCTAAAACACCTGCTGCAAAACATGGACCAGTAACGGTAACCCGTCCAGGGGTTTGGGGCTTGTAGCAGCTAGCAGCTAGGGGTTCAGAGTGCTAGGTCCAGGAGTTCGGGGTGTAGGGTCCGAGGTTCAAGGGTCTAGGCCAGGCTGAGCATTGAAGGTTTACGGCATAGGGTCGACAAGTTCAGGGTGGGGAGTATAGGGTCTCAGGATTTTGTCTAGAGTCTTCAGGGGTGCCCTAAACATGAAACCCTAACCACGAAGCCCTAGACCCTAAACCCTAAACCCGACATTTCAGGATTTATTCAGGGCTAAGTGAGCTTAGGATTTAGGGATCGGAGGAGGCAGGGTATCGATTTAGACCTCCGGGTCAGTGCTGGGTTGTTGTTATTGCTAGGCTCTTGTTGAGGAATGTAATTTAGGGTTTAGGGTTTAGTATTTAGCTACCGCAAGAAGGAAGCCATGAAATCATCTACTACAGGGCCCCCTTCTGGTAGCCGAAACTAAGTTCCTGAATGGGAACCCAGATTGTTTTTGATTGGTTGCCTTGGCAAAGGAAGTCCTGAAACTTTGAGGATCCAACTTAAGACTGATAAGACCACCATTCGCAGTTTAGGGTTTAGGGTTTAGGTTTTAGGGTTTAGGGTTCAGAGGTGGCACCCTCGGATCTTGGGAAGATCACATCGTCCAACTCGACCCAACAGAAGCCTTTGGATAATCTAAATTAATCCTTCAACCCTGCCCAAAACTCAACACCTCGCCCCTGTGTTTGTCCCGAAGTGCGCAATTCCGCAAGGTCCTTTGCATGGGTCAAGATGTGTCGAAAGTTCGAGCAGCACGAAACACTGCACAAGCCCTGGCAGAATCTTGTCGTTACGATGCTGAGGGCAGCTGCCTTTGGGTTATAAATTAATCGTAAGGTAGTAGTACTATCAAAATATAGTACCGAGAACCCTCAACCCTCAACCCTCGAGTGCGCTGGTACGTATGCTATAACTATAACGTACCCGCCAAAACTATATAGCCTGCGCTAGCTGCTAAGGCTGCTGCGGTATGGGAAACGTGTTGTGTTGGCCGCGGTTGATGGACAAAATCCTGCATGACCTTAAGGACCCTAAACTATGGGAATTATGGCATATTCCTTATAGTGGGTAATGCAGGATTTTGTCCATCAACCGCCGGCGGAAGTCTTGGGGGTCAAAGTCTGTGGATATCCTTGAACCCTGAACCGACACAGCTTGCACATTATCGAGAAGGGCCCTAAACCCTAAACCCTAAACGCGTTTCAGGGCTGAGGGCTTGAGGGCCTGAGTGTGGGACTTCGAAGGTGGAAGGTGAAATTCAGGCAAGTGCGAGGGTCGGTTAGCATGGACTGCAGAGACCCTCAAGCCTAAACCCTCAACCCTAAACCCTAAACCCTATATTAGCCCTAAAAGCTAAACCCTAAAAGCCTAAACCCTCAAAGTATAGTATGTGCTGCCGGGCATCCATCCGAAGCGGGGTTCATAAACAAACACGGACCCGAGGCTCCATGTCCTCAGAGACTCCAAAAATTCCCTTAGTTAGGGAACATACCTGAACCTTATGTGGGGGGTTTAGGGTTTAGGTTAAGAGTTTGGGGTTCTTATAATTATAGTTATGAGGGGTTTAGGGTTTAAGTTTAGGGTTTGGGTTCCTATAATTATAGTTATAACTTAAGGTACATGCCTTAATTTCGGGGTTTTGCCGTCTCGTGCCTATAAGGTATTTACAGCGGCCTGTCGGGGCTTCTACATAGTTACTTCAGGGTGATATTCTTTTCGTGGTTTAGGGTACTTCAAGCAGTGCAGGACAAGCCCGGAACCCTAAACATTACCTGTAGTCTCCATTGTAGTTCCTTTTTTGATTTAACCAAATATATATTAAGGATTCTATTATTGTAAGGTATCCCCAAACAGGAACTACAATGGAGACTATATGTAGTGCGACAGCCAACCTGGCCAGTCGGCTCCCAACTGGCAACTGAAAGCGGCTTCGACAGAGTTTAGGGCTTCAGGCCCAAGATTTGGGTTTTAGGGTTTAGGGTTTAGGGTGTAGGGTTGGTTAAACTAACGGAGGAAAAGCCATCCATCCGCATCTGTACTCTGGCTTCCGGCCTGTTTTGATCTTGGCCCGTCTGAGCCATCGCACAGGTCTGTTCTCACGCGACCATCCCGAACCTAAACCCTCAACCCCTAAACCCTAAACCCTGTGTTTGCTTTACTCTTGATTGCTTCTGCACAGAGTTTCTGAGCCGAGAGAGAACGTCTGAGCCAACGGGGCGGTCAGCACACGCCGAAATTGCCAGCATCATTCTTGGAACTAAACCCGAACATGGCTTAACAGCTGTACTTTCTCCTTGCCTCGCCTTACATTGCATGTCCTTTGCTAACCCGCAGACGCATTATACAAGGAGCCCTTGCGCCATGGACGCACGGACCTACCTTTGACTAGTAGTTGTTCCGAGCTCTTTCCAGCCCACCCTTTTCCCCAAGCCCCAAAACCTAAACCCCAAACCCGAGCAAGGACTCTCGTTCACGGCTACTGGTCTCAGCCAACGCGCCCATCATTGAGCTCGATAGCGAGTTTCGGATCCCGCGCGGAACTATTCAGGGCTTACGGTTTAGGTTAAGCCCTAAAGGACCTGGTAATGAGTAATGAGGTACTTGGGCTACCGTGTAGTTTTGTAGGTTACTATTTGGGAGAGGATATGATGATCAGGGACTCGGACATTTAGGGTAGGATTCAAGGGGTGCAGGATTTGGGGGTTTTGGTTTTGAGGCTGGGATTTGGGGTTTAGGGGTTTAAGGATTGAGTTAGGGGGGCTGTACAGTTTAGGTGTCTCGAGGTTTTGAAAGTCCAAACCCTAAACAGAAAAACGCAGAAGCCCCAAGCCCTAAAACTCTACCTTAAACTACCATAACCCACGTTTTGTAGGTTCTGACTGTAAGCCTGCATACAGAGTTTGCAGGGACCCTGCAAGAAAGCATGATTCAACCCTAAACCCGCAAACTCTATACCCAACCCAGTGAAAACACCCTATAAACCCTACACCCAGTGAAAACACCTGAATTTTAGCGGCCCAGGCCCCCGTGAATCTTCCCAATAGCCCAGTGGGGGGGGGGGCGGGGCGACCCGGGAGTTGAATCCTAGGCCCTACGGGTTTAGGGTTTAGGGTTTAGGGTTTAGGGCGTATACAGGGTTTAGGATTTAGGGTTCAGGGTTCAGGATTTAGGGTATAGGATTTAGGATTTAGGATTTAGGGTTCAGGGTTTTCTAGACTGTAGATCCCCTGCCCGTCGTCTCCATTCCGGTTTAGGGTTTAGGGTTTAGGGTTTAGGGTTTAGGGTTTAGGGTTTAGGGTTTGGGGTTTAGGGTTTAGGGTTTAGGGTTTAGGGTTCCTGTTTTGGGGTTACCTCCCAGGATCCTAACTAGAAAATCGGTGAAACCAAGAATTTAGCTACATTGGTGACTAGAGGTAAACCTTTAATCCGTAAAGTGTTCTAGTCTGGTGGTTCTGGGTCTAGGGTTGTAGGTAAATTAGATTAGGGTCTAAGATTCCAAAACCCGAAACGCCAAATCCCTAAACACCTAAGCACTTGGGTGAATGCGTCTTGAAAGGAGGCGAGTGCCAGGGCTTTTGGAAAAGACGTTGTGAGACTTCAGATGTCTTACGGGTTACGCGTTTGCGAACTATCCCAAAGGCTCCATGTACCTTTATAGTAGATACTTAGGCCTTAAAGGGGTGCCTATATAGGTACTTTAAGGCCCATGTATCTGCTATAAAGTTACATGGAGCCTTAGGGGTTGTAGGACACCGGCACATGTGGGAAAGTGGGGGGCTGGTGCTGAGCGTGCCATTGGAAGGTGAGAGGCGTCCTGCGACAGACTGGGACGGTTTAGGGTTTAGGGTTTAGGGTTTAGGGTCGCCACGATCTAAGGATAGTGTGGTGGAACAACTGGATGGTGGACAAGACTGGTGTTTCCGTTGAGAGGATCACAGGCACGCGAATGGGGATATATGTTCCCTTTGTGGGGCACCTCTGGTTCTGCCGCATAGGTTCTTATGACTGCCGCCGTCACCTCAAAGGGTTTAGGGTTTAGGACTGCAGCTGTGGGTCGATTCTCAAAGCCTTACTGACATCAACCCTGGAAGTCAAAAGACCTGATGTCCGAGAACGCTTTCCGGACGAACCCTTGGTCTCCTCTGACTCCCCCTGCCCCTGAACTCAAAAGCTGTTCAAGCACTCAGCTTGAGCCTTCTCACGTACAGGAGGGCATAGCATCCAGTTCGAAACGACCTACCTACCTACCTACCTACCTACCTACCTACCTACCTACCTACCTACCTCCCTACCTCCCTGCCTCCCTGCCTCCCTGCCTCCCTACCTCCCTACCTCCCTACCTCCCTACCTCCCTACCTCCCTACCTCCCTACCTTACTTACCTACCGACCCACCACCTACCCACCTACCCCTACCCACCTACCCACCTACCCACCTACCCACCCACCTACCTACCTACTTACCTACCTACCTACCTACCTACCTACCTACCTACCTGCTTACCTACCTACCAACCTACTTACCTACCTACCTACCTACCTGCCTGCCTGCCTACCTGCCTGCCTACCTACCAACCTA